TCATCAGAATGGGTGATCATAGTGACAGGATCAGCCCATTTGTCGGACAAAGTGAATGATTGGGAATGCACTCTCTCTGATGGAAACCTAAACTACCGGTAGTTGATTTCAACCGTTGAAATTTGTTTTTATAATATATATGGAGACTGGCCACTGGAAGAGGAATTGTCCTCAATATTTGGAGACTAAGAATCAAGGTAATTTCAAATATTTTGTCATAGAGACCGATTTGTTGGTCACTTTTTCTTCCTGGTGTATTGACTTTGGGGCTTCAACTCATGCGTGTAACTCACTACAGGGGTTCAAGATAGGCAGAAGACTGAGTGTCACTCTACTTGGGGACTTCTGCAATAGTTGCAGCTACAACCATAGGAACTGTAGAACTAATTTTTAGAGAGTGAACAATTGTACTTAAAGATTGTCTTTTTGTACCTAATTTAAGAAGATATTTGATTTTTGTCTCAAAATTGTGCATGAATAGTTATTCTATCTTATTCAGTAATGTGATTACTATTAAACGGAATAAAAAATTTCTCACATACGGAGAACTTGAGAATGGTCTCTGTGTTCTCCATAATTCTCTAGAAAAAAACATTACCGAAACTACGTTAGAAATAAACCTCAAGAAGAGAACTCGTGATACAGTTAATCCCACGTGCTTGTGGCATTACCGATTTGGCCACATTAATATAGATCGTATCACAAGGTTGGTAAATGATGGTTATTTGGATTTTCTAATTGTAGAAGATCTTTCAACCTGTGAACCTTGCCTTTAGGGTAATATGATGAAGCGGTCATTTACCGGTAAGCCTGAAAGATCTACAAGCACACTTGACCTGATACATACTAATGTATGTGGCCCCCAGAATGTTAGGACACGTAATTAACACATTTATTATATAACCTTTACCGATGATTACTCACGGTATAGTTACGTGTACCTAATGAGACATAAGTTTGAATCTTTTGAAAAATTCAAAGAATTCAGACAAGAAGTCGAGAAACAGTTAGGGAGAGAAATTAAGACCCTTCGATCAGATCGATGCAGCGAGTATCTCTCTGATGAATTCAAGGACAACTTAAAGGAAAATGAGATTGTATCACAACTACCTCCTCCTGCTACACCACAATTAAACGGTGTATCAGAGAGGAGAAATTGGACCCTATTAGATATAGTCCGATCACTTCTTGTCCACTCAAATTTACTTACATTCTTTTGGGGTTTCGCATTAGAGACTGCAATTTACGTGTTGAACAGGGCTCCAACCAAATCCGTTCCTAAGACTCCATATGAGCTATGGACCAGTAAGAAACCAAGTGTAAGACATTTAAAGATTTGGGGTTGTCTGAAACATGTTAAAAGAACTAGTGCTGATAAATTGGAATCCAAGACCAGTCGTTGCCTATTTGTAGGTTACCCCAAAGGCTCTGTAGGTTACTTATTCTATGATCCAAAAGTGCAAAAGGTGTTTTGCAATCGAAATGTCCACTTCCTAGAAGAATATTACATCCTCGATAATCATCATCAAGAACAACTTCTTGATGAAGAGAGCCTGGGGGTAGTGGAAGATGTCCCACCAGCTCCAAAAAATAACCAACCTAGAAGATCTACCTGGGTTTCCAGGCCTCCAGTTCGTTATGTCTATGACCAAAAAAGTTACTTGGTAGAAGCCACGACTAGTGAGGAGGATCCCATGACTTATTCATAAGCTATGTTGGACATAGATTCTTTCAAGTGGGTAGATGCCATGAGAGCTGAGATGGACTCAATGGAGACCAATGGAGTCTGAACTCTAGTAGATCCGCCCCCTGGGGTAAAGGCAATTGGTTTCAAGTCGATCTATAAGAGGAAGAAGGGCCTCGACGGTAAAGTTGAGACCTACAAAACTCGTCTTGTGGCGAAACGGAATACTAAGAAAGAAAGAATCGATTAAGAGGAAACATTTTCGCTTATGGCAATGCTTAAATCCATTAGGATCCTGTTAGCTTTAACAGCGTACCATGACTACGAGATTTGGCAAATGGATGTTAAAACAGCGTTCCTGAATGGAGATTTTACTAAAAATATCTATATGCAGCAACCGCAAGGTTTCATAGCTGCAGGTCAGAAACACATGGTATGTAAACTCAACCAATCCATATATGGACTTAAGCAAGTTTCTAGGAATTGGAACATCCGGTTTGACTCTACCATCAAACAGTTTGACTTTGAGCAAAATCCGGATGAACCCTGTGTTTACAGGAAGACCAGTGGGGATAAGATTACGTTCTTGGTTCTGTATGTAGATGACATTCTACTCATTGGGCATGATGTAGGAATGTTAAATACGGTGAAAGTGTGGCTTTCACAACAATTCTCCATGAAAGATCTTGGAGAAGCCTCCTACGTATTGGATCTTCGACTCTATAGAAATAGATCGAAGAGGATAATAGGATTATCCCAGTCTGCTTACATTGACAAGATAGTCAAGAGATACAGTATGGAGAACTCCAAAAAAGGAAATGTAAATTGGTTATCTGAAACTCGACTACTGGTGCCTTCATCGGTAGTGATTGTATGGCATTCTTGGCCACTGGCGGTAACCCAAATATGATCATAGGTGATCGGCTATCTAATCTAACCTTAAAGAAGAGTTGGCGGTCGCCTTTCTTGAAAAAAGCATGTATCCGGCTTCATATACACTCGGATTCTACCTTCTTCTCAAGCATGGTTTTGCATTCTAATACACCTACGCATTAATCTACATGAACTTCTAATACAACAGAAGATAAAGATACATGAACTACTATAATAGAGAAGTGGAATGGAAAACTGATTGAACATGAATGAATAAGAGATTTAATCGGGTTCAACAGGGAATGAAAGTTAAAATTGAAAAAGAATAGTAAACTGTAAAAAGTAGAGAATGTGTTACGAAATCAACTAGCTTGATGGAGGATGGATCTAGTTCTTGTACAGGATGTATGTTTCTTAGTGCGGAGGTAGTCTCTAGTTCTTGCAAAGGATGTATGTTTCTTAGTGTAAAGATCCGGTTCTTGCAGAGGCTCTATTTTTCTCAGTTTTCTAGTGTAAAGATCCGGTCATAGCATGTTTGACCGGATTGAACAAAGAATGAAAGAGAAAATTGAATAAAAACAATAAACTATAAAAAATAGAGCATGTATTACGAATTCAACTAACTTGATTGAGAAAGGTTGCAGAATTGTAGATGAAGATTGAGAGATGAAAAATTGCCATTCGATACACTTTTTTTTTAAGGCAAAATACTATATTTCATTCAACTATGAAACTTGTATGAATACAGAGTAGTGGTCACAGTACCAAGCAATAAAGCACAAAAACATTGTATGAAAACAGAGAAGTGGTAACAAAACCAATCAAGAATACAAGTCTCTAGAGAGAACAAAATATTCATAGTGGATAGTGGAGAAAATGAAGAAATTTCTGCAACAGACAAATGGTGAGGCAGAATCACCAACTAAAGAGATAAATGAGCGCATCTCCAACCACCGAAAGAGAGGGATAAATACAATCGCAATTCGCCATAACTTTAATCATCTGTATCCATAACTACCGGAACTTTAACCGCTAAATTGGAACTAACTGGAACTTTAATAGGGTAGAACTAAAATTGTTGGAACTGTTATTGCCGAAAGTGAAACCAACTAGATCTTTAATCACCCGGAATTGTTATCGCCTGAAGTGGAACCAACTAGAACTTTAACCACCTGGAACTAAAACTGCCAGAATTGGAATGTTAACCACCTAGAATTTTAATCGCCGGATCTGTTATCGTCGGAACTGGATTCACCTAGAACTTTAACCATCTGGAACTGTAACTGTCGGTGGAATAAAATAAGGGAACAGTTACCGGTGGTGAAAATCAAGTTAGCGATTAAGGCCATCGCCCAACACTCCACCTCCTGTACTAAAGTTCCCGCAAAAAAGAACAAAAGAAAAAACAATAAACGAAAGAGAGTAGAAGATTGGACCAAATTAATCAAGAAGAAGAGAGATGAGTGAGGAAAAGGGAGAAGGGAAGAAGAAAACAGAGAATTTGAACAGTAATATGATTAACTGAGATTGATTGATAATCTAGACAGAAGTGTGGTTGTGGATAACTACTTCTGCATTTTCTACATTTTTCTAAGAATGGATTAAGAACAGTAGCTCCCCACTTCTCACATATTTGTAAAGAATTGTTAATGAATGTGTGACAACTGTTATACAGTGCCACATTTCTCATATGCTTTTTCCATAAAATTGAGGTTGCCTGGAGTTGTTGCATGATGACCTTCCTTTAATATAGATGAAATATTTTGTCTTCTCATCTCTCATAAACAAAGACATCATCGACAAGGAAAGCGATTCTTGAGTTTTTCTTCAAGAACCAGCTTCCCCTGTGTCGACCTTGTAATTACCTGCCCCAGGGGATAGGAAGAATAAAAGCTCGGACTTTGGACGGGTGGATTATCTGATTGACCAAACCTACTACCCAATTTTCCTAATTGGTTAGCAATTAGCAATGGCATCGATCTTCCCCTTGTTTTACATGCTTTGGATTTGACCAATAAAATTGATTGACCAAACCTACTACCCAATTTTCCAAACCACGATTCCTATAAACCGGCGGCCCGCCGGCCGGGCCCTGGTCCTAATGGTTAGAATCATCAAATTGGAATTAAGATTACTTAGTTCATACAAATCTACTGAATTAGCAAAGACAGTTACCAGTTTGGTCAACAAAATCTTCAACCGAATTAGGTTTAATTAGTTAGAGATAGATCATACATCACTTTTCTTAGTAGAAGAACGAACCCCCCAACTCCTCCCTTCTAGATTTAATCAAAATTTATGACTTCCTTAGATTACTCGTTAGTAATTGAAACGAGAGCACCCAAGCCAAAAGCTTGCTTATTTGAAGAAACTATAAGGAAACAGCAGTGGTTCACCAACCATTAACATTTTATTATATATATAAAATAAACCAAAGCTAGAATCTCACAATGAAAAAAAGCACGAAAAGTAAGAATCTTCCATACTTGGATCATTTCGTGTGACTGAGTCTTACCCCCTTCATCATTCCTTTTCTATTGTATTCATACTTTCTTGCTTTGCTTTTATATGATACTTCCTTTATGACAAAGGTTCCCTCCATATCTCCAACCTCCAAAAAAATCCCAACCCTTCTGTTCCAAACAAAACAAAATCCACATAACTAACTATCATGTTCTTATTTTTCAGTTATTTCTCCCTCCTCTTCTTCCTCTTCCCTCCCTGTTCTCCCGCCAGAATCGCACCTGGCTTCACACCACCGGAATCTATAACAGTTTTAACTGTCAACGGTACCAACGATACATGGCACAATTTAGCGAGGTTTCTGGACTCCAGCAAGGGAAGCCACGTCAGCGGCATGTCGGAACTCAAGAAATACTTTCACCGCTTCGGTTATCTCCCCGTCTCCGATATCGACTTCACCGATACGTTTGACGCTCGGTTTGAATCCGCCGTGATTGAGTACCAATCCAAACTTGGCCTGCCCGTCACGGGCAAGCTCGATTCCAATACGCTTTCGCAGATTATGTCGCCGAGGTGCGGCGTGCGAGACACAGGACACGTTACTCAGTTTCATGCGACTCGACGGTATGCATACTTCTCCGGACAGCCGAGGTGGGTGCGCAAGACTCCCGTAACGCTCACGTACGCGTTCTCGCCGGAGAATACTATATCGTACTTGACCACGGAGGAGATACGGGCAGTAGTTGATCGAGCTTTTACGAGGTGGGCAGCCGTAATACCACTGAGATTCTCGGAGATAGAAGATTACGTATCGGCAGACATTAAAATCGGGTTCTATGGTGGAGATCACGGTGACGGAGAGCCGTTCGATGGGGTGCTGGGAGTGCTGGCACACGCCTTCTCCCCTACGAGCGGGAAGCTCCACTTTGATGCTGCGGAGAGGTGGGCGGTTGATTTTGGGGTGGAGAGATCGAAGGTTGCCGTTGATTTGGAATCGGTGGCGACACACGAAATAGGGCACGTATTGGGGCTGGCCCACTCTTCCGTTAAGGAAGCAATTATGTATCCTAGCTTATCACCCAGAAACAAGAAGGTGGAGCTGAAGCTGGATGACGTGAAGGGGGTGCAAGCTCTGTATGGCTCCAATCCAAACTTCAGTTTAAGCGCCTTATTGGCATCTGATACTTCTACCAATCAAGCCGTTGGTTCAAGAATCAGAACCTCCTCCAAGTGGGCCACCTCTATCTTGGTTTTGGCATCCTCGTTGTGGTGGTGCTGGTGCATATAATTGATTGGCACATTAGCTTATTAGCTTTTTCTTTTCTTTTCTTTTTTTCCCTTTTATTATTTTTTCTGGATCATAGAATTGTTTGACTTCAAAGGAAGTGACACAGATGACAGGAATTCTTTTAAAATCAAATTATGCAATCAAAAAAAAGGGGAAGCAACAGTGGATTATATGAGTATTGCGGACTGTCCGTTAACCATAGTAGCCCTTCTTATACGGGTCTGAGTCAAGTAATAGACCAGAGCACCTGTTGAACGAGTCAATGTACACGTGGCAGATTAGTGTGGTATGTGGAGTTTATAATGTGCGGAGACAGGAGACTTTACCACGGTATGGATCGGGGGTCAAAAAGCGTAGGCTCCACGGTGGGCTTAGCTAACAATTACAAGGTCGACTCACTAAAGTTTTAATTAATTAAACACAATTCTAAACTCTAAGTAAGCTACTTCAATCAATCACGCGCACGGCGCATGACAGACAAGAATAATTCCAATTCCAAATGTCGTTCAAAGTTGGAACGTATTGGAAGGGATGGGCGAAATGGGACACGGAGCGAGTGGCCACTTGGTCCAAACTAGAGATACTAAAAGAACAGATAAACTATTTGTTTGGATTATTAAGAACAAAAATAAATGGAGAATTTGGATTTGTCACGACTCACACTCACAAAGCCGGATCTGCTCCTCACAAATGGGCGCCTCACAGGCACATCCATCGTGCGTTGGAAGCATCCCTCGTAAATAATATCTAATAGAGAACCGAATCGGGAGGGAATCGCTTTTCCCTCTACACTACCCTTTGGTAGGGGGACACATGGTAAGTACTTGAAAATGATGAGAGGTTTTAGTGGTTGGTTTAGGGGTGTATGCAAACCAATGATCTGTTCCATCAACTCAGGTTGTGTTTGGTATCATTGTATCCATTGCCACTTCTATTTGTAACATGTTTGTCAATACAAATTTTATAAGAATATATTTTTTCTTTACCATAAATGCTTTGAATTATTAATATATCATTTGATACCATTAATGTTTATTCAAGAAATATTAAATTTAGTGTTTCTATTTTAAATGCTAACACCAAATTCAATTTCTATATTTTTTTAGTAGAATTAGTTATGTGATGTGATATGACAAGGTAATTTCTCAAAAATTTGTATTAAATAACCCAAAACATTGCAAGTGGAAACGGCAATGGCACCAAACACAACTTCATTATTTGAATTCAATTTGTTGATAATTGGATTTGAGACGAACTTGAGTAGCTAATGGAGATTTGAGTTAATCAATATTCAATTGTCACCCTTAAATGTTAAAACTCTAATTCTCTCTTTTCTTTCTCTTTCGGTCATTCTTAAGTTTGCGGTACAGATATTATACTCCCAAAAGAGTTAAAACTCTTTTAGGGTTCACATTCTATGGACCTTTCAGTCCACTTACGATCTCTTAGAACTGCTCTAGAAAAGTTTAAGGCCATGTTCGATTTTCAGTAAGTTAGTTACCTGGGTAAGTGCATTTGTCTCATCAAAGTGTTGGAAACTTTCCCCCAGGTGGGAAAGATATTTACCCTCCTAGGAGATGGGTATCACTTATTCCCTGGTCTCCACATAAATTTGAAGATAGAACATAGGTTTCTTGGTCAATGGGAACCAAAATCCTATTGACCAACTTTCCCCCTCACAAAATCCAAAAAACAGAACCCCCTAAATGAAGTTAAACATCAATAAAACTTGTGATTTGAATTCTATTTCTATCTTTCCTCCTTATTCCAGGTTACGATCAGTAAATAACTATCACCTTGTCTCTCAAGTAATATCACCTCATTTGGAGAGAGACAATGAACCCAATGACCTTATGAGTACTAGAACTATTTATTTTTTTAGGAGCAATAAGAGCAATTGTTAGATGAGAACTTGACAACAATGTTGAAGAATTTACTACCAACTAGGGGTGAGCATGGGTCTGTTTGGTTTGGTTCCATGGAAGAACCTGGAACCTATCCTATAGGGGTCGGTTCCAAGTTTTTGGAGCCAAATCCTACCCTATGAAGGTCGGTTCCAAGGTTGGTTCTAGCCTTAGTGGTTCTAGGTCGGTTTCAGAGTCTACCCGTGGAACTTGTTCTTTCTTTACTCTCCCCCTTCAAAAAACAAATGAAACATATCATTTAAAAACTTGATTTTCAATTATGATAATATATAGTTTAAAACTTATATTATCTTTCTTGATTAAATTGAGTAATTTAGTATGTAGATTATCATAATACATTAATATATAGTTCAAAATTTATCATATAATTTAAATTTTATAAATATTACCTTTTACATTATTTATTATACACATTCAAATATTAAAATGAAAACAAATGATCAAACCGCTTAAGTAATGCAATGGTCAAGTGAGAACATGGCTTTTGTAACAATGAATGCTTAGATTCAAATCTTCACATTCTTAAAAATTTTTGTGGTTTATTTCAAGGCAAGTTTGGTTCCAAAGTCGATTCCAACAAGGCCAACCAAGGCCGGTTCATCGGGTCAGTTCAGGTAGGGTAAACCCCTAGACCCTAGAACCGACCTAGGTGGGGGTTGGTTCCATGAATTTGGAACTAGACCCTACCCTGCAACAAATTGGGTAGGATTATTTCAAGGCCAGTCTAAAGGTTGGTTCCATTTGGTTCCGAGTAGAACCTACCCATTTGCTCACCCCTACAACCAACTATTTGAGGGGCAAGAAAGGTTTGTTCGATCCCCCCCAACCATCCGATAATTATTTGCTTCCATCCTTATTCAAGGCATTCTTTGAGGTATCCTTATTGGCTATTGCCCTTATTTTACACAATAGAAGCTAAGAGTCAATTCCCTCCTTTTGGATTTCCAATACCAATAACTTATTTCTTCTCCCTTCATTTTTAATATTTTCTTCTAGTTCTTGGAGATTTCAAAATCTCTAGAGTTTCTCAACAATCCTGGATAACTCTGTTATCGATTATGCTTTTCTGTTAGGCTTGGACATGATTTTAGGCCAGCAAGCTAAGGCTCAGGCCAAATACATTGGGCCTCACTTTTTTTTTCAGCTTCTCTTTTCTCAAGACATAATAAAAATTTTCAGTATTTTTGGGTTTTGGTGTTGTTTTATATAAATAAATCAGTTTTATTTTTGAGTAATAGAAAGTCTTCTTGTCCATTTTCTAGGCTAGGCATAGGCTCAAGATCTAGTTCAGCGGTCGACCTCAACAAATTCTATTAATATAGAGGCAAAGCTTGGCCCGGACCATCTTGCAAAAAAGTCTAATAAAGAGTGTGGTGATGGAAAAATCGCAAGGAGAAGAAAGATTTGCTTGCTAGCATAATTTGATTTTATTCTATCCTAGTATTCCTTGTTTTTTTTTTCTTTCCAAGGGCATTTATAGATGGGGTATTTCTCAGATAAACGTTTAATTGAAAAATGTTACTTTAAACGTTTATTACTTTTGTTGTTTGGCTGGGCGTTTCAAGTAACACCCCATAAAGCTATCTTCCACCTCAGCTTAACGTTTATTGCTTTTGTTATTTGGTTTGGAATTTCAAATAACACCCCCGATAAAGCTATCTTCCACCTTAGCTTACAATGCTCCAAGTAAGCATTTCAATTCAATAAATGTTTGGGCATTGGAAGAAACTGAAATTTGAAGTTTCCCCCAACATCTTAAGCACAAAAATCCAAGTGTTTCTGCTTTTTAATGTATTCGATAAATATTGAAACCAAACATTGGTTTCATGCTAATAAACTCCAATGCCTAAGTGGCATTGATGTGGTGGAATTTTCCCTATAAACGTCCACAAAACCGAAAATAGCCAAAAATGCATCCTTTTTGTTAATTTCGTACCATTGTTTTTGATTGTGCGTCGGGTTGACTAGGTCAGCTGGCCAAGATACAAGAAAAATATTAGAGTACCCGGGGTGGGCATTGTGATGCTTAAGTTAGCGGTGAGTATATTGAGAGAGTTGGAAAGCGAGAAAGCTAGAGAGTTTGAGAGCTAAATCGTGTGTACCTTCTTTGATCGAAGGGGGCGCCTTTATATAGGCGCAAGTAGTCGTAATCTTCACATAGCGCGTCCGAGATCTCCGAGAGGACATGGCTTATTTTGCCACCATGCTCAGAGGTGGTTTTATGCTCGGAAATGGTTCTCCGAGAGGACGTGGGCGATGCAAGTACTAACTCCGTTGGTGGGGTGACATGATCCTAGAGGATTTGGGGATGATAAGGCGCACGTAGAAGAGGTTGGTCACCATGTCAGGTAGGTTTCCAGTAGGACCTTGGCCATGTCGATGGGGTCTCGGCAGGAGGTCACCCCTTATGCCAAGGTGTCTACAGATCGACCCTGTCGAGGTGGCGTCTATACGCTCTCATAGTGTGCTTAATGTGTCCGAGGTGGATCCGAGGTGGTTCCAACGTAAAGTCCATGATTTAGGAAAAGTCAAGTCATTGCCTACGTGGCGCCAAGATGTTAAGCAACGGCTCGGAAATTCTACATGGCGTATGTCACCGGAGGGCCAAATTCCCCCTGTTTTGTTTTAGGGTTATTAGATCAAATTCAACGCCGGAGGATTTTTTTTTTATTAGATCATTGGATATCTAACACTAGACATTGGACATCAAATGCTGGCCATTGAATACAGGTTATCCTTAGAAGTTGATTAGATTGGCATGTTAATCAATCGAGTTGAGTCAATACTCAAACATGTTAAACATATTTTAAAGTTGAGTTTAATTAAAAAATCAAAATTTGGTCGAGTTTGAATCAAATTTGAGGTAGGAAGTTCTTGAATTGAGTCAAGCATTTCACCACTCAAAGTCCCTGCCTAGCTTCATACCTAGGGGTGCAACTTGGGCAGGGCCAACTCGAGCCCAAATCGGCACAGCCCAAAATTTTATACGGCTTGGACTTGGAATTTCGGTCCTTGGGCTGGGCTCGGGTCCAAGAAATCGGGCTTTTCTATTTTTTGGCCCAGGCCCGGTTTTAGGCCTTAGGTAGTCCGAACTCGACCCGAGCACGGCCCAACTATACACATA